TTCTACTAAAATTGTTAATGCACAAAATTAAAGGCAACCAACAAACAATAAACATTGTAAAACGTATTTTAATATTTACCAAGAAAACATACCAGGTTGCCAGCTAAGTTGCTTTTTTTGACAGAAGATTAGTAAGTATTTGACCTATGTAAAAGAAGCAAAATAATAAAAAGCCAAACTTGTCTTCCATATATTGATGTTTGCTTTTATAAATGGCCGGATTTATAGTAATAATTTTAAAAATAAATCTGCGACTGATTGTCTTTGGTTCCTCAAGCTGTGATAGTGCTTGAGACAGAATCATTTTGCTAATTTTATGACCTCTTTAAACCAATCTTTCATTCAATAAGTTTGGTTAAATGGTAGATCAATATATCATCTACTTCATCTATCCTTATATGAATATTGATGCTATACAGAAAACACTGAGTTCTTAAAATTTTTGAAATTTATCTCCTTTTAGAATGAAATATTCTTTTATATATCTGTAAAGAAAAATCTATATTAGTAAATTAAATTTATTATAAATAAATATGTAACATTATGCATATTAATGGTGTAAGGTGATGTTTAAGTATATGCATGCATTTTAAGTATATGTCATGTTTAAATCAGGTTAAACATCTGTGTTTTTTTTTTTCCTTAAATTCTTTTCTTGGTATATTTTAGGTATACAATACATTTACATTATCATTGGGAACTTGTACCTTTACATGATGTATCTTGGTTCTTATTTTTTTCCCCATTCCCTGCCCTCCCTTCACTCCATCCACCCTTCCCTATTTACAAAGACTTTGTTTCCATTTTTTCCATTTCTCATCATTTATTCCTTTCCCTTCTTTCCTTTCCCCTGCCCCTCCCACTACCCCTACCCCTTTGAACCTTTTCTTCCTATTTTACATTATCGATTATTCATTCTAATCATTGGTACATTTTAGGTATACAATATAATGACATTCATCATTGGAAATTTGCACCTTTACATAGTCTCTCTTGGTTCTTATTTTTCACCCTTCCCCTGCCCTCCTTTCAACCCCTCCATCCCTCCCTAGTTACAAAGACTATTTTTCCATTTTCTCATTTTCTTATATTAATTCCATTCCCTTCTTTCCTTTCCCCTACCCCTCCCACTTCCCCTTCTCCTTTACACCTTTTCTTCCTATTTCACATTATCTGTTATACCTTTTAGTCCTTATTTACACTTTCAGTTTCTCACACTAGAGAAACTATTTGGTATTTACATATGTGTGTGCTATTTATTTCACTTAAGAGTATCACCTCAATGTGCATCCACTTAGCTATAAATGTCTCTAATTTCTTATTTTTTATGGCTGAGTATTACTCCATTTTATAAAAAAAAAACACATTTTCTTTATCCAGTCTCCAGTTAATGGGCATTTGGGCTGCTTCCAAGTTTTAGCTATTACAAATCATGATGCTATGAACATATATCGCTGTGGTATTATTCTTTTAATTCTTTGGAAAAGATATACCCAGCAGGGGAATAGCTGGGTAAAATGGGACTTCCACTCCTAGTTCTTTGAGGTATCTCCATACTGATTTCCATAGTGGTTGCACCAGTCTACACTCCCACCAGCAGTGGAGCAGTGTTCCTCTTTCCCCATAGCCCTGCCAGCATTTGTTATTGGTTGATTTTGTGATAGCAGCCATTCTTTCTGGAGTGGGGTGGAATCTCAGAGTTGTTTTCATTTGCGTCTCTCAAATGACCAGTGATGTTGAACATTTTTTCATATGTTTATTTGCTATTTCTACCTCTTTGTGTGATAAATGTCTGTTCATTTCAGATGCCCATTTTCAGATTGGGAGGTCTGAATCTTTTAAAATTCTTTATAGATTCGAGATAATAGCCCTTTGTCGGAGGAACAGTAGGTGAAGATTTTTTCCCACATTGTGGGTTGTCTCTTCACACTGCTGGTGGTTTCTCTTGTTGTGAAGAAGCCTTTCAATAAAAAGAGATCCCACTTGTTGATTGTTTGTGCTAGTTCACGGGCAACTGAAGTTTTGTTCATAATATCTTTTCCTACACCAATGTCTACCTAACCTCTGTTCCAGCCGATTCAGCATTTCTACTTTTTATTTCCTCAAATATTTGTCATTGTTTTATGGTAAAAAATTCTAGGTCCTTTCTCTTAGCTTTTTCAAATGTACTATACCTTATTGTTATCTATAATCATCCTAGTGTGTAGGACACCATAAATTCTTATCTAACTGTGACTTAGTACACATTGAGCACATTGATCAACTTTTCTCTAGTCTCCTCTTGACTTAATTGTAATTGAAACAATTTCATGCAATTTGATATTCACTTGAAATTGAGAAAAATAAATTAAATTTAGTCATAAATATTGTTTTCAAATTAATACCGTGTAATATGTGAAACAGATCATAATAATTTATTAGGGCTAATAATTTAATACTTAATTTGTCTAGTGTTGCTTGTCACAGGGTTGGCTAGGCTGTTGGTAAAAAATTACATCTGTGAGGAGCTTGACCTATTCAGTTTTTGAATAAATGTTAATGTTGTATAGTTATTCCTAGTACTAAAACTTCTATTACTCTTTAATTGTATTTAATGATTTTCTGTCCATTCTTTTCTGAGCCTTCATCAGTTTTAGCATTCACTCTCTCTTTCAAGAAATGTAATCAAAACTGAATTAAACACTTCAAGAGTATGGCAAATACTCCTCTCTTATCAGTTATTGGCAGGCATCTTGACAAAGTCTGGACTTGTTAGGCAATAAAACCCTGCATAGCTAGTAGTCTCAGTCATTAATGCAAACATACACAGAGATTGTGTCTTATTATTTCTTTCCTTTAACATAGTATGGTCTATTTTAATATATGATAAATTTCTATATTAATATTCATTAAATATTTTTCTTTTTCTTTTTCTTAAAGTTTTTCTAAATATTCTTGAATAGTTTGAATTTATCTTTTTTGTGTCAAAATATTAAAAATATTTTTAATGTTAAGCCCCTTAATGTATTGTTTTTAATTCATTTCCTATAACATCAGTAAGACATCAAAGTGAAATTTAACAAGGAATAATTTTATGAGGGGAAATACCTGGTTAAGAGTTGAAGAAGAATCATGGTGAGTAAGGCTGGGAATACCTTAAGATCAGAATGCATCCTGAACCCAAAGGAAGAGAGGGCGGAGAGAATATTGGGCAGAAACATCCCAGAGTATGTGTTATTGAAATGACTACTGTTATCATTTAAGTATAGCTCCACAAGACAATTAGTTCTGAAGCCATGGTTAAATTTCAGGGAAATCCTTCATCTTTGAGGAAGGGACCTGCCTTAGCATTTCTGTTATTCTCAGTCACTAACTTACAACTCTCCCTAGGATATATGTCTTTTAGGCAAACATAGTAGTGGATTATAGGGGGCAGCAATTGGGATTTAGGTCAGTTGTATTCCCCATAATTAAAACTTTACAAAGCACACTCTCATTGTCATCACATGTCCATGTTTGATAAGAGGTTTTCAATCATTTATCCATTTGAATCTTCTGGAAAAAACATAATAAATTCATTTAACATATCTCCTATTTAATCTACACAGAAATATCAAAACCGTAATGCTAAATACATAATATTATCTGAGAATAGATTGACTCTTGTAGGTCAAATCAGTTAGCCTTCTGAAGAATGACATTTGACCTTCATCTAAGGATGATGGACTAAGTCTTATACACACTGGAATTCACTTGTCATCAGGTTCAGAAGTAAATATCACGGAAAGGTCAGCATGTCTGAAATAGATCATGCAGTCTAAATGTGAATATTGATTTTGAGTAGGAAATGCAGTATGTTACACAATTTATCAAAAGAATTAAAGAAAATTATTTTAAAATTTTTCAAAGAAACATGCTACCTATTGTAAGTATACCTCTGGTATTCATTTAAAATGGAAATTTACCAGCCTTTATGGTAAGGATTATATATTGAATGTCATATTCATATTCATTTAAAAAAATTTACTTATTATAGACTATAATTTCCATAAAAACCAAAAATTTAAATTTGTATTTGTGTGTGTGTGTGTGTGTATATATATGAAATAGGTCAAATATTCATAAAGTATTTTTGTTAACTTCTTGAATAAGTTGATATTTTGCTAATCCTAGAAAAATATTGAGCTGTTTTTCAATTCTAGCATTAGTCAAATTTAATATGTCCAATCCAAAAATGTGAATATTATATATATATGATCATCTTGACTTTTTCAAAACTTCAGATACTCTTTAATCACAAAATAATCTTGTTTCTGTATTAAAATTAAAATTAGTAATTTGCTGATTAATATAAATTAATTTTGTAATAAATGCACTACAAAAATGCATTATATATAAAATTAACTGGAAGAGCTTTTATATGAACAAATAAAATTTGAATAAATTTACAAAGATTAATCTTCATATCCTTTTATGAAAATAAAGAAAAATACAGTTTACTATCTAGAGACAGTTATTTTTTATATTTTATTCTATTAGAAATGAAAATAATGTTATATTAACTGGCATTATGAAAATCAAACTTTGAAAGTTAATTTCTTTTACAGATAAGCAATTTCTCCAAACTCTCTCTGCCTGGAGCACATAATCAACATCCCATCCTCTCTTCAGCCCAAAAGAAGTGACAGGATTTGCAGATCCCCGCTTCATGAGAGCCCAGTTTCCTCTCTGCAAGAAAGGGGTCAATGAGCAAAATATGGCTGCAACAGTAGAGCAAGTGTGGAGATCTGCACTATCTGTCTGTGCTCCACCTCCACTCTCTTCCTTACTGTAAAAGACCCTTACCACCTATATACTGTGAGATGGTGGTTTGAGGCAAACAGACACCTCCATCTCTGTGAAGCTAGCTTTGAATAAATCCCTCTTCATTTTTATCAAATGTCTTAGTTACTTTTCTCTCATTGCTGAGGCACAATACCCCACACTCACAAGTTAAGGGAGGAAAAGTTTATTTGGCTTACCGTCCATAGTTGGCTCCAAGGCAGAGTGGTACATGGCAGAGGGCCATCCACTGAGGAGAAACAGTAGTTCATTGCAGCCAAGACAGCAAAAGCAACAAGAAGGAAGACAAAGCTCTTTCTGTCCCTTATATTGTATCCAGGCTACTGGGATTAGAGCTAGGGTAGTACCAAGCCAATCAGTGTACTGGTTTAGTAATCACACAGCTTTAACCCCAACATCACACACTCTAGATCCAGCCACTTCTGAAAAAGCCCCATCTAAGACTGCATGAAGCTTTGGCGCGACATCTAGACAGAAACCATAACACCAAGTATGTATGGCTTCTTTGGAGCAAATGAACCTAAGTGCCCAGGTAACATTGTCACAATAGATAAAAATGTAGTGATTGAAAAGTTCTGGTTATCATTTAATTATTCAAGATAATTAAAATTATCTTACAATCAGAAATATGACTATCATTAGTATATAAATCAAATGAATTGGGACTTGGGAATTTTAAGATGTTTAATAGATTAGAACAATAGTAGCAAGAAACACTGGTGCTGATTGAAAAGAATATAAAAGAAAAATCTATTTGAATACTATTAATATAAAACAGATTCACATGCATAGACTATCACTTGATTACTAAAGTTGTTTTCTATTTTAATTCGTTAGATTTATTGTTCATTGTAAGAATTGACTTTCCCTTAAATTAACCTTTTCTGTCTTTTTAGGGCACCATGAAATCTTTCCTCAAACATAATATATTTTGACTCTTTAACTTTTGAAAAAATGACCCTGACAATCTTTCACAGCAGCTTTCATATGCTCCCTCTGTACCCTCATGGAATTGAATTGCTCCTTCACATCAAGGTTGTCCATATTTAACACTAACTCATTTTTCAGAATAAAGCAAAGCTTCCAGCAACAAAGAACTCAAATTCCAATAATTCACTTTACACCTACTGTTTAGAATTTAGGACAGGTTTTTCAATACAAATAGTGTTAGGGTAAACCGAGGCATGACTGAGACCACCTGAGCAGGCAAAAATGAAGCAACAAACAAGTGTTGGTTTTCAGCCTGGTGCAGGCTAGTCAAGGGGGACAAAGCCATTGACCCTGGGGACTTGGGTGAAGGGAAACTTTATAGGAGAGTTTGGATAGGGAAGGGATAGTGCCAGGAGGAGTGGAAAATTTTGTCCTGGAGTGGAGGAGGTCATTTGTTCTGGGGTGGAGGAAATCTGGTGGTCTCCAGGGGTATCTGGACCTGCAGAAGTTACTGTATGGAGCAAGCTATTTATCTTGAACGCAACCTTGGCTTCCTGTTATCCTTTGTGCCTTGCAGGATGTGTAACTGCATTGCCTGTTTTTTCTTCTGCCTGGGCAGGGGTATGGCAAATAGATTTACAGATCTCATTCTTCTTTCATTGTATCATATCTATGAGATATTTTGGTTTGATTGAATCATGCAATGTACACTGATTTTTGTTTTATTAGTAATTAATGGAAACATATTTTATGAGACAAAATAGCACAGATGTTATTAGAGTGCTGTAGTGATGAATCTGGAAATCCAGGTAGAGCCAGATTGCAAAGGAACTGTGAGCTATACTAAAGACTTTGTTCTTTACTTAAGGATATTGTGAAGATATTGAATGGTGTTAAACAGGCAAGAGAAACGTGCAGTGGCTTTTTGTGGAAAGACACACTGTGCTTCTGTGTTCTATATAGTGAGATTTTTATAAATACAAAATGTTGATTCACAGTCATGACATATTTGTCAGATAAAAGGGCTGAAAACCAAGACCAGACCAGGCCACAACAAGCCTTTATTAGGGGAATAGATCTGCCGGGCTGTCTCTGAACAAAGGAGAGACAAAAGCAATATGGCCGGGGCAGGGAGAGTCTTTTATAGAGACTGGGGTGGGGTTTGTAGGGGATGAGGCAGGGTTGAGTGAGGTAGTGACTAGGGAACGGAGGAGCCGGTGACATCACTAAGTGGTAGGAGGTGAGCAAATATTAGGTTACTCTCTAGGCAGGACCAGGGGCATGCTGGGAAGAAGGGTTTATTCTTTGGTGGGAGCAACCATCTTGGCATGACGTCACACAGGGGAGGGGCAAGGCACCATAGGAAGAAGGCAGCTACTATACATAATAGCTGCTGAGGTAGTGGGAGACCTATCAATTTTCATCACCAATGTATAATTGATGTTGAGGGTGAGGTTGTTGTCTTCTAATGCTTTATAACTAAGCCATTTATTTAATTTTCTAATATTGCATTTTATTTCTGGTAAGTTTTTCACCCATATTTCTATGCCATTAAACAATGTCCTGAAAAATAAAATACGTATGTGAAAAGAGTGATAGGAAAAGGTATATCAGGCAACTGCAAACTAGAGAAAGCAGAAATTATTATATTAATGTTGAACAATGTATAAGTCAAAACAGAATTGTGATTGTATATATGTGTGTGTGTGTGTGTGTGTGTATATATATATATATTGTGTTTCATTAAATAGATGGTAAGTTTGTAAAAGGAGGGGGTTAAATTTTTACTTTACAGTGTTCTGTCCATATAGTGTCCAGTATAGTTAAGTTTTTTGCCAACTTTTAGGTCCCAAAGATTTTCTTTTCAGATTCTTGGTATTCTGAACAAAGAATTGGACAAGGCATCCATAAAGGGTAGAGAGGATTTACATTTATTGAGGGTTGAAGCAGAATGAGAGCAGACCAGTGAAAAGTTCACAACAGCCAAGAGGTTAATGGCTGGTCTCTTTTGTATCTGTGGTTCTTAGATGGCTTCTATTCCATGCAAACAAAGCCTTCTTAGTTTTGTTCCAGATGTAAATCAAAAATTGAAACTATCACTTTCTGATTGGTCCCAGGTGGAAGGCTGAAAAGTCATTCATATTTTCTATTTGGCTCTGTGTTCTGGGTCTCCATGATTGATAGATCACTTGCTCAACCTGTTTGCCAGGTCATAATTTTCTACCTCAAGATCATATAATATTGTCTGAGAGGGACACTTTTTTGAATAAAGAGGGTGTTTTATATTATGCTATGGCAGTGGGTGTCAAGAGCAACTGTCACAAATAAATTGAGTCAAATAATCACAGGTTTTTCTAACTGTGCTACTTGACTCATGGTAGGTATAATTTCTTGGTATCCTGTTGGCATGATATTTGTGAATGGAATCAGGCCCTAGTCACTTCGGAGTTGTAAAGAGCTGTATAATGGGAAATTGAGGGCCTTCTGTTGTGTTTGTTAATTGGCCTAACCTCAAGAAAAAACAAATGCCCACCTATCTTCATGACTGCAGGTAGTTTTTCTAGTTGGAGCAAGGAGCCCACCAGTTAGGTCAAAACCATTAGATAGTGGTAGATGATAAGGGTAATAGAAGTCTTTCCTGATGATAACATTTGGAAGAGAAGACTCCCAGGGCATTGACAAATTTATTCCTGAATTGTAAACCTGGCAAGCTTTTTGGAAAGACAGAGAGAGAATTTACAATTCCAAGCTTTCTAAAGACTCTAATAAAAGGAAGTTAAAGGATTGGTACCGGGAAGAAAAGTACCTGAAATTTCCTTAACTGGAGGGAAACTTTCAAGTTGTCTTAGTCAATAGGCATTTAGCCAGTGGTTGGAATGATTGTTGAGATTTGCTAGGATGGCTGAGTTTCTCTCTTCATGAACTTTTCTGGTCTCAGAAAACTGATCCCTGTGACTTCACAAGCTGCCTCTGGGGTTTTTGAGCCTAAGGATTTAAATTACAGTTACTTCCAAACCCAACACACACAGTGATTTTCAATTATCATGTGAGAACATTCTACAAAGGCTATTTCTGAGCCTGACCGTGTAGGTCTACTAAGTTCAAATTTTTAAGCATATTTTGAAATCTGAAAATTCAATAAATTTCTTCAGCAGATTTTAGAGTTAAAATTTAAGCAGTAATGACTATGAAAGATTAAAATAAATTCTGAATGAAAACAATAAAAAAAGAAACATACATATACAGAAATAATCAGACTACAGTTTTACCTTTAAAATCATTTGAGAAATTTTTGACTGCTGCTCTTGCATCTTTAAAATAAGGATGCGTGAATCTGACATAAGTAAAACTCTTCATAGTGTATATTCTTTAGAAAAGATGTGGAAAGCAGTGTCTAACCATTTGATCTTTTATTAATTTTTTTTAAAATCTATGACTTAGCTTAAGAATTCTGGGAAAGCTGGTATCACTCTCCTTTTTCATGTTTTTTAACAGTTTTACTTAGTTAAATATGTAGAATTAGATCACTCTGATAAAATTACTCCAAGGTTATAAATAATAAGAGTTCCAGTGGGTGTTTTTTCTTCTTCTCATTTTTATTAAATTTCCTCATTATAGATATAAAAACAGCTCTTTAATTGGTACTGATTTGAAAATATATTGAATTCAAACATGTCTAAATAAATTAGATTTGTCTCTTTGTAGAAAGGCAGTAGAGCCAGATTGAATCCCAGTGAAATTTTATAGCATCTATTTATGAACACATTTACATCATAAACTGCTTGGCATTTAAAATAATTACAAGCTTTTACAACATGTATAACATTTACTTTTATTGTTACTTCTTGTACCCAATAATAAAAGCAGGTTTTAAATTGTAAAATAATTGTTTCCTCCATATTTATACTCTAAAAACGGGGTCTAACATTTGAATACTGCAAATTATGTTATTTTAATAGATTCATTATTTGGATGACTCAGATCTGTTAAAATGTATTTAATTTAAAGAGATTTATTGTAGTCTATATTTGAAAAAGCAATTATAAATTTTAAACAAATATGAATTTATGTCTTCCTAATAAAAATCATGTTGTAATTTTTTGCATATGAACCATGAAGCAGTTCATTTTTGTTCTAGTTCATACTTTCTCTGTAGATTGATTTTAAAAAATAAGTTTGGAGTTTTTTTGATAAATAGTCTTCTTACTAAAATGCTGCAGTTTGTGGTATGTCCATGTAATATATATAATAATGAAATGTCATGTTGATACAGGGATGCTATAGGAGATAAAATAGGGCCTCCAAATGATATAAGGGAAATATAATTTCCAACATGTTAGATATGATATGCTGAGTTCATGTTATCTAAAAACAAAGAATGAAT